TCTATCTATCTATCTATCTATCTATCTATCTATCTATCTATCTATCTATCTATCTATCTATCTATCTATCTATCTATCTTATGATTTGTTAGCACTTAAATGTGGTTTCAATTTAAATACATTAAGAAAACCAACAACTTAAAATGTTTCCAGATTATACGCATATATTTATAGGAGACTCCTGTGTATTCCTGAAGAATTTTGTGCATTATTTATACAGGAAAATTCAAACCTGCCCTTACCTGATCAAAAATAACATCAGAATTGGCATTCATTGGCAAATATTTAGGCAACTATTAACTACTGATTGAAAGTGAAAACTACCTCAACCTATTATATCCATTTCTCTCATTACAGTAAAGGTACTGGGAAGTTTCCCTTGTCCAGTCGCGTCTGACTCTAGGGGGCACTGCTCATCTCTGTATCTTAGCCGAGGGAGCCAGCATTGCCCGAAGACACTTCTTGGTCATGTGGCCACTATATGCTGAGGTGCACAGAATACTGTTATCTTCCCACCAAGTGGTACCTATTTATCTATGTGCATTTGCATGCTTTTGAACTGCTAGGTGGGCAGGAATATACAGTACACTATCTATAATTTACTACCACTCATAGACTCTTACCTCTATGGTGGAGAAGGAAAACTTCTGATGGGTTTTTAACACTGAGGGTTTTTGTTTGCTATGTATATCATAACTAGCGTAAAGAGGAGCAGCATGTAGAAATAAATGTTATGGAATCTGTATCATGTGCCTTTGGCATACGCCAGGAATGTAAAACAGAAAGCAGCCCTTTGAGTAGAGGAATTCTGCATCTGGAGTGAAACAGAGTGGCAATTATGAAGCTTGTTTTTGTACATAACCGTGGGGAAGCCCTTCTCAGCACAATTAAGTGTGTGTTTAGAGTGAACATTTGAAATTAGAACAGAAAGCACCTTCAGTAGACCACAGTCATGAAATGTGTTGAGTGCTGGCACAGCTCATGATTCTTTTGTCATGTCTAGGGTTTGTTTGTTTTTTTTAATCTCCTTAATGTGCTCAACTCCAAGTGACACAGCTACAGTTTTCTTGGCAGTCGAATGAAATGGTGGTTTTGACTTTTCAGACTTTCGTATATAGCCCTGGAATTCCTAAGCAGCCACTTGCTGAGATCACAATAGTTTAGAACTGCGATGTATGAATCGTATTTCAAATCAGACATAACAGTAAGGATACCATCCGCAGGGAAAAGAGGTACACAAAATATAATACATGTATTTTGCACAGATGCTTCTTTTTAAAAATAAAGAGTAAAGAATATGTTTGCCTCATTTCATGGGATGCTACTCAGCTGTGCTCAATTTCCTGGTGTTTACACACTCCATTAAAAACAGAAACATAGTTGTCTGGGGACAGAAGAAAATGTAGTGATGGAAGCAGAGAAAGTGGGATGTGTAATCCTTTTCCCACTGATCATTTTTAATTCAGTATTATTTCCAGTTCTTGCTATTTTTCTTTCAGTAGAGTAGGGGCCAGGAGAGAAATTTTGATTACAAATGGACAAGAAAACTGTCAGTAAATTTGGCCCACAGATGTAGATTTTAGGTACAGTGTTCAGGCTCATAAAACTATTATTGAAACTGAACATTTTCAGAAAAATAACTCAAGTATATGAAAACAGAAATAAAACTTTGTTGATGCTACTTTTTGCTGCATCTTTTTCTTTGCCTACTAGATCCCTATCTGTTCCTGCTGTCCTGGAGGAACAGCAAAAGAGAAGTAAGGGAAGGGATCAACAGTATATTCCAAGCCCTTCAAACAAT